AAAAAAGAGACACTAATAGTATGACTGTTCTACATTTTATCCCTTTTCCATAATGACCTTTCCCCTTTCACCCATCCTAGTTCCTTTATGCTTTTGAAAAATTTCTTCCCATTTCACCATATCTATTGTACATTTTAGACCATATTTATTCTTTCAATTTCTCATACCAGGGAGACAATATGATGTTTTCACATGTGAGTGTAATATATTGCACTAATGAGTATAGTCTCAAGTTGCATCCACTTACCTATAGAAGTCTCAAGTTTATCCTTCTTTATGGCTGAGTAGTACTCCATTGTATAAAAATAACACTTTTTTTATCCATCCCTCAGTTGATGGGCATTTGGGTTGTTTCCAAGATTTAGCTATGACAAATTGTGCTGTCATAAACACTGGTGCACGTATTTCAGTGTAGTATGATGTTTTTAATTCTCCTGGGAAGATACCCAGAAGGGGAATATCTGGGTGAAATGGGACCTCTAACCCTAGTTTTTTGACATATGTCCACACTGATTTCCAAAGTGGTTATTATGAGCTTACACTGCCAATAGTGGAGAAGGGTTCCTTTTTCCCCACAGCCCCTCAAGTATTTGTTATTTGTTCATTTCTTGATGCCATTTCTTGAGCCATTCTTTCTGGGATGATATGGAATCTCAGTGTTGTTTTAACATGCATCTCTCCAATGACCAGGGATGCTGAACATTTTTTTCATATATTTATTTCCTGTTTCTACTGTTTCATCTGAAAACTGTGTATTCATCTCAGATACCCAGTTTGGGATTGGGTCTCTGAATTTGGGTCGTCTGGGTTTTTTCAGTTCTTTATATGTTCTAGATAAAAGTCCTTTGTCTGAGGGACAACTGGCTAAAATTTTTTCCCATTCTATGGGTTGTCTTTTCACTCTGTGATTTCTTTTGACGTGCAAAAGTTTTTTAGTAAGTTGAGGTCCCAGGTGTTGATTCTTTGAACTATTTCCCATGCAGTCTGGGTTTTGTTTATGAACTGTCTACATACATCTATGTCTTGAGGATTTCTACCTATCTACTATCTCTTCCAGCAGATGTAGTGTTTTTGTTTTAATATTTTGATCTTTGATCCATTTTGATTTTAGTTTAGTGCACAGTGATAGAAATAGGTCTAGTTTTAGTCTTTAGCATGTAAAGAGCCAGTTTTTTCAGCACAGTTCATTAAAGAGACTGTCTTTCTTTCAGTGAACATGTTTGATTCCTTTGTCAAAGATAAGGTGTTTGTAGTTGTGTCTGCATCTTCTAATCTGTTTCACAGGTTCTCAGGTCTGCTTTTTTGCCAATACCATGCTGATTTTATCACAATAACTTTGTAATACAATTTCAAGTCAGGGATTGTAATGCCTCCTGCCTTGCCTTTGTTAGCCAGAATTGCTTTTGCTATTCTAGGTCTCCCTTATGGCTCCAAATGAGTTTTTGGAATATTTTCTCTAGTTCTGTGAGGTATATGAATGGTATTTTGATTGGGATTACATTAAATCTGTGTAACAATTTTAGAAGAATGGCCATTTTCACTATGTATGTTCTTATCCATGAGTAAGGAATATCTTTCCATTTTCTAAATCCTCTCTGATCTCCTTTTTCAGAGTACCATAATTTTCAATATATAGATCTTTTACTTCCTTTGTTAGATTGATTTCTAAGTATTTCATTTTTTTAAATGCTATTGTGAAGGGTATGGTTTCCCTAATTTCTCTCTCAGTGAATTTGGTGTTTGTGTACAGGAATGCTATTGATTTCTGAGTACAGACTTTGTATCCAGCTATGCTACTGAATTTGGTTATTAAATTTAGAAGTCTCTTGTATAGTGTATCATTTCATTTGCAAATAATGATAATTTAACTTCTTCTTCTCCTGTCCTTATTTCTTTTATTTCTCTGTCTTGTTTAAATGCTCTGGCAAGTGTTCTCAGGAAACAGATTTTTCAAAACAAAGAGTGAATTTTTAAAAAGATAAAAAATTAACACAGAAAATACAGACAAATGGAATATGCTAAAGAGGGTGGAATATTTGTTATGAATTTCTCACTAGGAGAAATGACAATGAGTGGGAAAGGAGTGACATCTGAAGATCTTTTTCTCTTATGACTGCTTCCTATTTCTCTCCCTGGGTTTTCATTAAGCATATGCTTCAAGAAGGTATTCAGTTATATGGAAGATTAATTTTGCCTAAGGATGAAAAATTAGGTGAAATGAGTAGAAATATTAATGTTAAGTCATGGACTCTTTTAGAATTAGAGGTTCTGATGTAAATAAGAAAGTCATCCTGAGGACAAGAAGACAAGAATATGACACACCCACAGCCATGTGAGAATTAAAGAGTCTCTTTATGAAAGTTAAAACAGGGCCTACCTTAATGATCCAAGGACATTCCACTCTGATGTTGACAAGGAAAACTTATTTCTGCCTCAGTGCACTCCAATATAAAATTCCAGCTGGTTGTTGACCTTTCTTACAGAAAAACAATGTGACAATTGGGGAGATACAGAAGTATGATGATTTTGGCTGAGTGGGCCTGCCCAATTGCTCCAGGGTCCTCCTGCTACAGTTTATAGGAGTGACTGTGGTGCCTGAGTGCGTGGTGTCCTGGACATCACATTTCTCCAGCATGCATACTCTTCAGTGGCTGCTCAAGCCCAACTCTGCCACTCTGCTCCTGGTCCTCTGCCTGAGCCTGGGGATCAGCTCAGCTCAAGATGAGTAAGTCACCATTTTCTCCTCGCTACAGGAAGTCTTCCTGGGAGGATTCTTCTCCCAATTTAGAAACCACATTCTGCTCCTTAAACTATTCTCCACCGCCAAGGTTACATATCCTAGGCCTTTGCACTATTCATGTCTCTTGGTTTCATTCTTCTCCTGTTCAGAACCTGTTTTTGAGGTTATCAAACCCAGGTCCCACTATCACTGTATTTTTCATTTATTTTTGTCTTGAGTTTAACCTTCTCTTACTTCTCTCCTAAATGGAAAGTATCTGCAGAGATGTGGGTTTGATTAATAACTGGGACAGGCCTTGGAGAAGACGTTTGAATTGCACAGAGAGTCCATGGCCTTCTTCACAATCAGTATGCAGGGTTGCGCTGATGATCATCTCACATGGTTTAACCGGCAGCAGTGATCTCCTCATTAAGATCTATAATCTACACTGGGGTCAGGGTCTAGCTGACCTAAGCAGATTTTTCAAAGAAAAGACTGGTAAAAATATAATTCTTAACCTCACTTTTCCAGGAACAGTTGCTATATGCCAAATTCATGATGTGATGAAGCTGGTCTCTAGGTCTAAATTTACCTGCCAAATAAAGAGAAAGGAACTGTCATTATTCAGCACCTTATGAGAGAAAAAGAGACTACATCTTTGGACCAGAGCATTAAATTCCAGAAGGAGTGAGGAGTTCCCTAGAAGACATAACCAGGCAGCAGACACAATGTGAAGAGAGAAGTAGATAACATATGGGAATAGAGTCAAGGACATTTTGGTGAAGCAGGAATACCTGCGAAGCCTGAGCGTTTTTCTTTGCCTGGACATCTCTTTCCTGGGTTTTCCTCTGACCTTGTCTCTCTGTCTCTTTTGCCACATCCAGACAGGAAATACTTTCAGTGGATATCAGAGCTGCAAAGACAGGAGAAAATAAATATTCAGTAACACTGACAGTCACAAACAATATGGATAAACCCATGGCGGTAAGTGAAGCATTTGTAATTAGGTTTGGTTAAAAAAAAAAAAAAAAAAAGAGGAGAAATATTATAATAAAGTATATTCGTAGACACCACTGAATTTACATGAAAGGTTTACTATCATTTAGCATCTAAATGCTTCACTTGCCAAGTATTTTTGTGTACATTGGCCTTGGACCTCAGGACAACCCTGTTAGGAATGTACGTGTTATGACTTTCATTCTAAAATTGAAGAAATAGTGGTATGAAAAGGATAAAGCAGAGAACCCTTTCACCCCAAAGACAAGATTCTGAATAACCAGCAGAAGACATAAAGATTAGGGGGAAAAGAACAGGAGAACAAACACAGGGATAAAAACAAAGATTAAGTAATACTGGGTTACAACGGTCAGTCGGAATTATGCACTCACCAACCCCAGCTTCTGCCACCCACTAATGCAATAGCAGAATTGAAACAGGGAATTACCACTCAACTCTGCAGGTTGCAATAGTTATGATTTCTCTCAAAAGTGAAAGGCTACTCTCAGTCAAAAAGTGGCTCTGAGGTTCCACTCCCAGCCCTGATCTCTTCCTTGAACATTCTGAGACCTGCACCCTCCTGTCTCACTATCTTTAGTAACAGTGTCCAATTGCTTCAAGGTTCCCTTGAGCTTCACTTCTACTAATGAGGATTAAACCTAGGGCCTTCACAGTGAGCCACATGCACAGCCCTTTATTGTTTATTTTGAGACATGGTCTCATTCAGTCTCTAAATTGTCCAGGCTGGGCTCTAAGTTGTGACCCTCCTGCCTCAGCCTCGCAGAGAGTTAGGATTATAGGCACATGCCATCATGCCAGGCTTCCCCTGAGCTTTTTAGAAAGCAGATATAAAAGTGAAGTTTCTAGAGGCACCAAAAACTTTCAGAGAAATACAAATAGTACCTGATATTTATTCAAATATAAATGATGATACAAATACTTTTGATGCACTTCAGGAAGACACCTTGATACTTTCTCTTCTGGTCTGGCCCCAGAAGATCGCCTCTCCCATTTGGAGAAATCTCACTCCCTACATCCTCTCCTCGGTGAAGTTTCATAATTTTATTGGCTGAGGAAAAACAGGTGCTAAATACCACTCAGTCAAGCACCTTGAAACTCCAAGTATGTTTCTTTCCATGGTAAACATGGTACATTACATTCATCAGGCTCCATCACTCACAAACCACAAAAACTCATCAACTCAGCCAAAGAAGATGGTCACTAAGCTCAAGGACCATGTCACAAAGCTGAAAAGAAGGACAATGGAGATGATCAACTCTTCTCTTGTTTGTTGTGTGGGTGATTATCTCTCTTGTGGTTTCACACCACAGCAGACAAACTGGTGTCTCCAATCTCCATATCCCTTTGGTTTCAAAGAGGTTAGTATCATTTCCCGTTGAGTGTGTTGAGGAGATCCTCGGCCCTGGGATAGATTAGGTCCAACTGATGCCCCAGACATAGCCCACCAGTGATGCTCCATTGGCCCTGCTAATTCTAAAATAAAGAACTAGGAGCCCTTTCATGAATCAGCTGATGAATTAAATGCTAAATAGATCCAGACATCTATGTTTACCACCACTCCATGAGATAGAAAACAAATGTCTTATCTGACAGCTCCTTCCAACCAAATTTTTAAACTTTAATCACTCAGTGGGCCAAAGAAAACAGTGTTTTGTCTTCTATAATGCAGATCAAATTGAACATGGCACATAAAGAGAATTACAGAGAAGTTGACTGAAGTCAAGTAAGCATGATAGCTGTGGATGGTTCCTTTCTCCCCACAGCACACCAAATTATGCTAATTTTATTTAATGGTTGATTCAGTGCTGCTTTATCCTGATCTACATTCTTTAACCTTGTCCTACCTTCTTTTCCTTAGGTTAGAGTCACCATTGAGGACAACCCAATCATTACTTACCCTTATGGTCATTTTACTTACACTTCTTGTGTGTATGATACACAATCCTACTTCTGGGATATTATAGTCTCAGGTATGTGTGACCAACTCTGAATTAATTATGGATATCAGACAGAGGGAATGTACAAGAGCTCAGAAGGGGAAATGAAATCAGAACAACAGAAAGCAAACGAGTAAGGTACTGGAATAAAAATGTGATGCAAAATAGGAAGTGTGGGCAAAGGGCTCCAAGTGAGGGCAGAGTAGTTGCCTAGTAACCACTGAAGCTTGTGTATAAGACTACAAATGAGAACTGACAGAGACAGAGTAGCAGAGAGGAGATGGGTAGTGGGACAGCCTATATGAGAAGACCAGAGATGAAGTCATGTGCAGTCTTATAGCCTAACAGCTCTGCTTCTTCCCTCCAGAGAGCACTGACATTGTAGGGACTGCTGAAGTTGTGTCAGATGAAAATATATGCCCTTCTGGTGAGGAACAGTACCATGCAGTTGGCTATCAAGTCTCTGCTGCTTACGGTATCCATTAACACCCTGAACTGGAAGATCTGCTCAGATTCTTAGTCCCTGGAATCTTCTTGAGGAACTCTCCCTGAGTTTGTGATATGTCTATGGGTAGTAAAATAAACTTCACACAATTTTGCAATGAATTCTTTGTGTTCTTTCTCCAAAACTTATAACTGAATCTGCACAGATATCCCAAGAGTTCTTCTGTAGTACTGGGAATAAAATCCTGGGCTTCTTTCACACTAAGAATGTGCTGTACCTCTGAGCTACACCCCCAGTCCAAAGGTCCTTAAGTGTTGATCTTTCAAGACATGACAAAATGAGCAGCCTAGTTAGTGAAGAAAATCTCAGACATTGTATTAGAGTTCTATAGATGACTGCTTTATTAAGCTAACAGGCTTTTCTTATTCAAGTCAAGTTGACATATCACAATTAGTGGTCACAGATAGGCATGATTTTCACCATTTCACATCAAAGAGAAAATGCCCAGAGGGAAGATAAGCAACTGTTCCCAGTGTAACACCTAAAATTAAAGTTTCAATGGAGGAGAGATTCCAAGTTCTGCTATCACTTCAATTTAACTATACCCTGCTGCCCCTCCAAGCTATCTAAAAAGTCAGATCATCTGAGTTTCCAAGAATATACCTTGCTCCTTTTCAACTGGTGGCAATAAATACCCTCACAGAATTTCCAGTGCTTTGTGTTCCTAGCCACTCTGTGTGTAAGCCTTTATCTTTTGTCACGGTAAGGCAAAACTCAGAGTTACATAAATCCAAGTGATAGTAGGGAAAGAAAGGGCATAGAAACCACGAAGCACTTCAAATGGGAGCATACAATGAGTTGCAGCCTTTTGAAGACTAATCCTGCTTTGCATAGTCCAGTCAAGTATATAAACACCATATCACCCAGAACCTCCATTACTGGAAGTTTTCATCCCTGGGTTTTTAGGCCAATTTATTCTAGCTATCAAGGATGCAGAATCATTTAATAACCATTCTTCCAAAGTATATGCTACATCTTAAACAACATCACCATTATCTTAAAGGGTGTGATCCTGCAGTAATGTTCTTAGCTGTTTATCTGTAAATGTTTTCTAACATGCTCTACAGTGGCAGTTCCCTGATGTTCCAGTGAATGGAAGGGCCCATAGATTCCTTTATCACATCTCCGCCATGGCAACTCAATGACAACAATGATGATGATGATGATTCTCAGTTTGGTATGATGTCACTTAGGATCTCAGCACTTGGGAGGCTGAGGCAAGAAAGCCAAAACATTCAACAGAGCAAGTTAAAGTCAGTTCTTCTTTTTAAAAGATTTTGTGTAGCAAAATTTTAGGTGGAGTTCCACTTCTAGAAACAATATATTCTACAAGAAACAGATTGAGGCAATGGTCAAGACTGCAAGCAGGAAAACACGTCCATAGCTAGAATATGCATCATTCTCAGTAAAGACAAACTGCTGCCTCTTTTTAAAGTCAAAAATATCCAATAGAATTATCATTCTACCAAATAGTTGGTTCATCTTACTGAGAAATGGAACTTTACTGAGATCTCAGCATTAACTTCTGCTCTTGCAAAGTTTGAAGCTGTAATATATAAATTGCTTATGGCAAGAAGGAATCCTACTATTAGGCACATGCGTAGCATCAGTCACTACCTCATTAGTCATCACAATAGCACTGGACAGGTGAGAAAGAAGCTGGCCAGCATCCATTGAACCACAGCTGCAGTTTTCCTCATTTGCCATCTCATCTGTGTTGAAAATCTTCTGAGCATTAACATGAGGCACAAAGAGGCACTTTGTATCCACATCTAAAGCTTCATCCAGATGTCTTCTACAGAGCCTGTCTCAATTGTTCCATTCTCCTTCCTCCAGATCCCTGGCCAGACATCCAAGGAGTCTCCAATGCTTGAGAGTCTGGGTAATCTTGTGTGTAGTCAAGTGCATTTCTCATAGCTCTGTCCCAAGCATTTTCCCTGAGCTAAGCTTTTCTAGGGTGCTCCTGAGTGAAGATTTAGTGTGGCAACAGTCCACCAGCCACTCACAACAACAAACTGAGCCTGACTATTAACAGTTGGGCGTTTTCATAGGGAATCTCACACACACTGTCTGAAACTATAGATACAATCTAAGGAAGTGTTATTAGTGTAACAGAAGTAGTTGGCATGGGGACTCACCTCTGTAACTAAAAGCCTGAACATCAATTTGGAGCCAACCTAAACTATCATTTTCATTGTGTTATGGCTTACTGCTCTATTTACCCAAATTTATAATTTGTAGGTCTTCCAATACAGTTCATGATGGTCAGCCCTGTTGCCATAACATCTTGTTGTTTCATAATATTGGACTTAGGTTTTATAGAATCCATGAGCATGCCATATACTCTTTTTCTGAAATACCATTTTTGATGCAAATAGTATGGCCCTATGCCACAATCCTAATGGCCTATTCTGCAATTCTCTTGTTTTTTTATGAGACCATATGGCTGGTATCATTAATCTAGCATATTCTGTGTAGCTCCATACATCTCCAGGCAATGTGACCAAAATAAAGGATTGCTTATGTCATACCTTAGTGTCTTAGTTCCTTTCTCATTCCTGAGACAAAATACCCAATACCCACAAGTTGAATCAGGAAAGTTATTTCTATTCACAGTTTGTAGACATTTCAGTCCATAGTTGGTTGGCTCCAAGGTAGGGTGGCATAGCAAAGGGGCATCACAGAGAAGAAACAGTCCATGGCAAGGCAGGAGAAAGACAGAAACAGCGGTGAAGCAGTGAAGAAATGCACTGAAGCAAGTCTGCCTTTCTCTTTTATCTATCTAGGTTACAAGCCTTATCGGTGGTGCCACACACAGAGAGGGTGGGACCTCCCACTACCCATACACAGAACTATGCTAAACTAAACAATGGAGTAATTTTAGTTATCATACCCTCAGTCTATATTCACATGCCCTAGATCCAGTCACCGCTGAAAAGCCTCACCTATGAGCTCATGGGATTTTGGGAGGACATCTAGATACAAACCATCACAGTTGATAGCTGCTGCAGAAGCCCTCACAATTAACATCCTTTGCTAGTATATTTGGCCAATAAGTGACCATATATATCACTCCCAAGTGCAGTAAATCCTGCTGCTAAAATTCAGTGTCTCCTAAGCACTATATCTTTTTTAGTGGTAGGGTTTTTGAAGCAAAATTACTCAGATCACCGGATGGATAAAAGCCTCTGATTTGGTAAACTTTCAAATACTTTACTGTGCATGTGTCTTATGAAGCTCTCTAGAGTACTTGCTGCTTCTTGATCTCCATAGTCAATTAATACAGGATCATTAACACATGAACCACTGTTCTGCTCTGGGGAATGTCCGCATGAACAAGTGGTACAGTTTGGAACTTAATATCACAATGACATATAAGTCATCCTAAAACACTGAAGGAAATTTTATACTTTTGAAACAGTATAGCCAAACCTGCAGTATATTTTGCTAAGTGAATTAAACCGGGCATAGGATAATTACCAAATAATTCCACTTACAAGAGGTAATTAAAATAGTCAAACTCATACAGACAAGGTATAGAATGGTGATCTTTCACTCCAAGGGATTTTCCCAGTTTGGAATTGGAGGTCTCCACATAAGCCCTGAAGCTTCTGCCAGTGCTTTCTCCATATCCAGCAGACCCTATAGCTCTGTGTACACTGAACAATTTCCAGGTGCCAGTATCTGAATGCCTACCCTGGTGGGTTTTTCGGGAATATGGAAGATCATTTTGCCTATACATTTCAGGCAGAAAGGAATAGGCCGGAAAAAGGATATTTAAATACTTGCATTCACTTAGCATTATGGAGTCATTGCATTCCAATGACTCATGGAAATTGCCTTGGATGAACCCATGCTCTCATGCCTCTTGGACATATCATGATTATTTGTCATGTGTTCTATAGCATTTTTGGATATCCTCTAAGAATTAAGCTTGGGTCTTCCACTCTAGTAGTTAGTTTAATAACAAGTTCTATGTTTATCATATCTTCCTGGAGGTATCAATACAATTAGTTTCTAGTTTTCATTGAATTCAAGAAGAAACTAAAATATATTTCCTTATAAATCTGGGTCTTAAATCTGTCCATATAGAAAAACAAACTAAGATGAAAGTTTTAGCATGTTCAAACAATACAGCAAGAGAGTTTAACAAGACAGGCAAACAGAAGAAAACCAGAAAAGGCAAGAACGAACAAATTTATTGAGCCAGCTGATGGACAGTCTCTTACCAGGAGCAAGAGAAGATGTCTGCTGTGCAGAAAGACATTCTTTAGTTTATCTTTCAATGTATTACCTATTTGGGACTTCAGGCCTGACCAAGCCATATGACTGTTTGATTCTGGAGGAAGTCTAGCAAAAGCACTGGTGTATAAAGAAATGACAGCAGGACCTGTGTCCCTGAGGAAAGCTGCTGGGACAAACACTAGATGCCTTGCTGAGATATGCCCGAAGGAATGACAACATGACGGCTAACTAAGTCTAGTCTCATTCTTGTGATAATTGAGTTGTATTGTCCTCACCAATCCTGTTAATTATTCCTCCCATTTGCCCTGTTGCTGCTTTTTGTTTGTATCCCAACAAAAGGCTAAGGAGGATGGTAATCATGGCTTCAGTCTGAGAGGCTGCAAGCCGCCTGATCCAGTAACTGTCTCTCTCTTGTTTTTCTTTCATCCGCAGGTACCTCGTTCTGGGGACCTGTCATCCCAGACAGAAACAGAATGTACACCAACAGTCCTCACTGATCTGGGTCTCATCTTCAGTTTAAGTACATTTTAGGTTTCCACACTAACCACAACTCCACTTTGGGAATCTTACATGAATGTCACACAATTATCACAAAATTTACTTCTTTCAGAAGCTGTTGGACAGCCAGATTCAAGATGATCACTGCTGTTTAACTTTTAGCCTACTTCTCAATTTGTCCTGTTTGTTCTGTTCCCATTTTATCACTCTGCTCTCCTTTCAGTGAGTTGATAACTAATCAAGGGGAGGGGTTGAAGAGTGGGGTTAATTACAGCTTAAGTGAATTTAAGTGACTTCTCTTAATATGGAGTTAAAAAAAGAAAATGGAGTCTCTCTTGGCCTATCACAAGAATGATGG